CAGGGACCCCTCCCCTTAGCCCAGGTTGCTCAAAGCCCCATCCAACCTGGCCTTGAACACTTCCAGGGATGGGGCATCCACAACTTCCCTGGGCAGCCTCTTCTAGTGTCTCACCACCTTCAGAGTAAAGGTTTTCTTCCTAATATCTAATCTAAATCTACCCTCTTTCAGTTTAAAACCATTACCCCTCATCCTGTGGCTACACTCCCTGATAAAGAGTCCCTCCCCATCTTTCCTGCATGCCCTGTTTAGTACCGGAAGGCTACTATAAGGTCTCCCCGAAGCCTTTTCTTCCCCATGCTGAGGAACCCCAGCTCTCAGCTTGTCTTCGCAGGAGAGGTGCTCCAGCCTTCTGATCTTCTTTATGGCCGTCCTCTGGACTCACTCCAACAGGTCCACTTCTTTCCTGTGCTGAGCGTCCCAGAGCTGGGCGTGTACTTCAGAGTGGTGTGGAAGGGCAGAATCACCTCCCTCGACCTGCTGGCCACACTTCTTTTGATGCAGCCCAGGATGTGCTGGCTTTCTGGGCTGCAAGTGCACATCTCTGGCTCATGTTGAGCTTCTCATCCACCAACACCCCCAATTCCTTCTCCTTAGGGCTGCTCTCAAGATATTCTCTGCCCAGCCTGTATTTGTACATGGGATTGCCCTGACCCAGGTGCAGGACCTTGCACTTGGCCTTGTTGAACTTCATGAAGTTTGCACAGGCCCACCTCTCCAGCCTGTCCCGGTCCCTCTGCGTGGCATACCTTACCTCCAGAATGTCAGCCGCTCCACACAGCCTGGTGTTATTGGCAAACTTGCTGAGGGTGCACTCTAACCCACTGTCCATGTCAATAACAGAGGTGTTAAATAGCACTGATCCCAGTACCAACCCCTGAGGAATGCCACTTGTCACTGCTCGCCACTTGGACATTGAGCTGTTGACTGCAACTCTGTGTGTGGCCATCCAGCCAGTTCCTTATCCACCGAGTAGTCCATCTGTCAAGTCCATGTCTCTCCAATTTAGAGGCAACAACGTCATGTGAGACAACTAAAGGAAGCTAAAAATTACTATTATTTCATTGATCTCATTTGGATTCTCATTGTTTATGACAGTTCAAAGGAAACATCTTTTATGTTGAATTATTTTTACTTTTTTCTACCAGTTCATTCTGTTGTCTACTTTTTTAACATATATTTGTATAAAAGTAAAACCATTACCTTTCAAGGTGGTCTAATATTTTCTAGAATTATTATTCTTCACTTTTTATGTGGAAAATATCCTCCATATATTTTTCTGATAAACATAGTTATCAAAAAAGCCAATCTTTGAAATCTCTAAGGCATTTTATTGATACAGCCCATAGTCTTTCCCCTTTGACTAATGTGGAGTTTTTAATTGCTTGCTTTTGTAATATTCGTAAGTTGGATATCTTTGTGACTTCTCTCACAGAAATTTCAAGTAATGCCTTGTGAGTTTAGAAGTCTGTTTAGAAGTCTGACTTCCCTGAAAATCTCCCTGTAACAGTTTCGTTCAATGCGCAGCACAAATTATTGCCTGTCAGTGGGCATTTCTAACACAACTGCTTCAGTAGTAGATATTAAAAGACATGAGTAATAAATACAAAAATCTGTTTGGTCTGTGGGGATTTCTTGAAAGGATTTGGAAAAATCGGGTTGAGTTCATATAGATGCAGTTAATAGGACTGTGCGAGCTAACAATTGGCATTCAGATACTCTTTCTAGATGATGGGAGACTATCCTCTCTTCTGGTGCTGTAACTGAGGAAGTGGCAATTTTGCAGGACCACGTGTGGTTCTGCATTTATACTTGTTGAACATCACCTTTTTATTGTTACTCTGTTTTGTTCTGTAAAACAACATATGTGTAGAACAACATTTATGTTTAACAGCCAGTCCTCAAGGATGGATAAGTAATGAAACCAGCAACAGAAAAAAACAAATACTAAGACACAATTCCTCCTGATTATAACAAAAATAACATTTACTGAAGTAGGATCCCAGGGCAGGACATCTGAGTGATCAACTCTGCATGCCCGACTTTGAAAAATGGCACCAGTGCAACTAGCTTTTTTGTTGCCAACTTCTGTATGTTCAGCCATGGCTCAATCAGTTATGGGCAATTTTGGTAAGTTGATGCACAATTCATAGAATGGTTTGGGTTGGAAGGGGCCATACAGATCATCTAGTTCTAGTTCTATACATGAGCTATATGACATAAGTTATATCACCCCTATATAGTGATTGGCAAGGGATTTAACAAAGGTATTTTTCCCTTTCAGATAAGTAGTTTTTTCAAGTATGAGATTCCTTTTTTACTTACCTCTCTCTTTAGGATATACACCTTTCTGAGAGATTCAATAATGACTTCATCCATAAAAGAAAGATTTGCATATTGCTTTATTCTCTACCAAGTTGCATTCGAACTGGTTAGAAGGTTATCTGACTTTACAGCTCAAAAGCCTCTGGTTTTATCCTTGGGTGCACTTTCAAGATCTCACTTTCAACATCTTTTGGAAGATAGCCCCTGGTTGATGTTTTTTCACATTTATTTTCTGATGACCTCAGCATATGATGTAGAGTCTTGTTGTAGGATCATTGGAAACTCATTCTGCACAGTAGTGACTCAATAAAAAAAGGATGTATACACATGTATAATACTTTCTCATTTACCTAGTATTAATATCTATCTAATTACTTGTTAACATCTGCCTAGTTACAGCAATGTTATTAGTCGGGGATTTAATTTGGTTCTTTTCAGGCTAAAATATTGTCAAGTTTGTACAGTAGCCTTACTTCAAGTACCATGTAATGTTTTCTTTCTTAAAGGCCTATGCAAAGAAGGCAGCATTGAAAGGTGGTTTGGATAAGACTGTGAGTCTCAGAAAAGATTTGTCAGAGATGCATGAATGGATAACACAAGCTGAGGAAGAATATCTGGAAAGAGATTTTGAGTATAAAACACCTGATGAATTACAGAAAGCTGTTGAGGAACTGAAGGTAAAAGATTAACTAATTCCTTGACCTGTGTTTCAAGTTCTTTTTGAAGTTTTCGTTGTAAAGTCTACTCTTTCATTCAGAAAGGTACTTTTTGAGATCAACTTGTTAGTCTTAAATTTAAAGAAGTAGGCGGCTTGAAGTAATTTCTGTTTGGAGTATGTTGGAAGATATTTAATCTTTCACACTACTGCATTGCTTTTTTTTCCTCTTTGCTTTATTGGATACTTGATTTTGATGCAGCTTTGTCATTCTTTTACTTAAGGAATAATTCTTAAGAATTGGGTATTAGTAGCAGTTAACTGATAGAGTTTTATGTCTTTTTATATTAGAGAGAAAAAAAAGATTTAGTAGTTCAGGATGCATGTTGGTATGTACTAAGTATGCATGATTTATTATTTTATTTCTTTAATATTGCAGTATAGGAACAGTATATTTTTGTCTCAAGTAAATAATGTTTCTTTCATGTGGGATGAATATGGCCTTTGGCAAAAAAGGACTAATTTATGATACATACTCAAATATACTGTTGCTCAGCCACTGGATGTGGGCTTGATTTTTATTTCATAGGTGAATTTTTTGGCCTGTGCTATTCAGGAAGCCATATTATATGGCCTTAACAATCTATCCAACACTTTGTTCATCATCCATAGTGTTTTGCCAGTGTTTGAGATTATCTGACTATGCAACTGATAATTGCTTTATGACAGAAATGCCTTGGTACTAGTAGGAATATACAGAATATGTGGAAATACATGGAACAAGTTAAATTCATTGTAAATGAGACAAAAGTAAGCATCTGGTCTAGAGATACAGTTCTTTTTTAGTAATTAAATAGCAAAACTCAAATTTATATATTGCACTGCATAATAAAATAGGTTAAATAAACAGTTTTAGACAACCCCCATGGATTTCCTAGTGAATACTCTGTACTTCCAGCTGAAGTACAGGGATGTTCAAACTGTAACACCTTGATCTCTGCAGATAACCAGATCATTTGTCATGCATCCCTTCACCTGCTTCTGATGATCCTTTTCCCTGAAGGCTTGCAGCCACCTCTCCTGTCACACAATAGGCAAAATCTGGACCAGTGCTCTTTGTTCATCCTGCAGCCCCTTTCTTCCCATGGCTAGGAAAGAGGAAAGCCAAGAGCAACGTAGTAAGCTTTCTCTGGCAATGACCGTCTGATACCAATTATTCTGGTTCACAGACTTTCTCAGACCCAGAGAGAAAGAAGGCTGTTGGGAACAAGGTTTCATTTTAATGTCTTTAGGCCAGGAAGTTCTTGTCTTAAATTCCTGTGAAGACCAATACACACTGATGACACTATGTATACCATCATTCTGTTTTCTGTAGTGATATGACTCCAGTCATAGACCCCATCCCATTGTAAGCTGTCAGAGCAAACAATGCTAGGTATGACAATCTTGCATCTTATTAATGAGATGACATAGCAAGGAGCAGAGTAGCAAAAGGTGAAGGAAGAAAATTAGGAATTGGATTGATCGGTTGTTGTAGTTACATAAGCTAAAATGGGGAAAAGGTAGCAGGTTGGTGGTTCCAGATCAGTTACATGTGATTTGTTAATTATTGGTTTTAATTCCCCGTCCATTGGTGGTTCTGTGTCCCTCAGATCTTTGTTTCCTGTGTCTGTCCTCTGGTTTAACACAGAAAGAGCTGTATGGAAGAAGGTTCCCTGTTCACTTTGTCCTCTCTTCATGTTAGGCTAATGTTCACTGGTGGTGAATAATGACACTGATTTTTCTGTCTCTGTAAAGTGAGAGAATGAAATCAACATTAATGCTCTGATAAAAGTGTAAAATATGCTCTGGAGAGAAATGGTGTTCTTAATTTCTCTTTAAATGTCAAGGAGAGGAAAATCAGTCAGAAATATTTTCCTTTTTTTCTCTCTTGCTGCTTCGTCATTGTACCTTTAAACCTGTGTACACAAATTTGTAACACAACAGTTGGTTTTGGTTTTTTTTTTTGTCATTTGTGATTCATAAGGTATTATGACAAAGATATTTGGAGCATGTATTGGAAAAAATAAAATAAAATATTGAAATGTTTTACTATTCTGAGAGCTCCAGAAAACTAAATAGTTGTGAGAAGATGTTAAATTGTATGGAGTATCATGTATTGGCAACAAAATGGAAAAAAAAGGTTTTTGGATGCATTCAAGGTCATGTCAGAAAGTCTGGGAATTAAATGGCTCTTGGGTTTTATTTTTTTTCTTTTGTTGTTGTGGGGTTGTTTTTCTTTTTCCCTCTGACAGAATTATGTCAGAGAGAATTCTAACAGTTATTTGAAATCAGTTTCCTTCTTAAACCAAGACTACAACTTTTTTCTTTTTTTCATTTTCAGAGAGCAAAGGAGGAAGCCATGCAGAAGGAAGTGAAAGTGAAGCTTATTACTGATTCTGTGAATAATTTTATAGCAAAGGCTCCACCTGCAGCTCATGAGGCTTTGAAAAAGGAACTTGATGTTCTAATTACCAACTACCAGCGACTCTGCAGTAGACTGAATGGAAAGTGCAAAACTTTGGAGGTCGGATATCTTGCTGTCATTGTATTTATAGCCCTTCTAACTGCAGAAGTGAGGTAGAGAGCAAAGATGTATTATCATATGGGATCATGAGTAGCCCAAGGCTGTCCTTGCTTTATGAGCCATATGCCAAACACCACGTGGCATGAACCATATACCTGGCCCACCACTCCTCAAGGGCAAAAACTTATGAACCATATACCTAAATCTTGTTAAGAATCATATATGCTGGAGAGTTAAATTAAAAGAGAAGTCTCAGACGTGGAACTTAGGTGGGAGACAGCAATGTCTGCTTAGGGTTCTTATCCCTCTTGAGATTAAGCCAAGCATGTGGCTTCTGTAGCAAGCCTGTGCTTTCTTCCATGGCTAAGTATTTTGATTAAATGGTCCTGAAGCTGAACAGGTGGTATTATCTCGGCATGGGAACAGCATTTGACCTGCTGGCAAGCTGAATATGTCTCATGCATTTTGAGCTGACCCTGCCATTTTGCCCAGCTCCTTTACAGATTCTTGCCACGGGACTATTGGTATATTATACAGTGGTCACAGTGAATTAGGTATGGTTCTTTGTTGTGAACTGATTTGCCATAGCTAACTTCATACAGGACAATTATACACCTGGGTAAAATTTACGTCCTCTAAATTTTACTCTGGAAAGTTAGGTGTGCAGTCTAAACTGGTAATCTGTATTTCCCCTGATCATTGATGTCATTTTTGTACAGTAATATCCCTCTGTAACCTCCTCCTAGACCAAACACATTTGATACGAATAAAGTTAGGTGAGATGAATCACACTCTGGGAAACTTGATCTACAAACAGTCTAGTGCATCTCAACACAATTATTTTAACTTCTACTAGTGAAAAAGGAACAATAAAGAGATGACTTATGGACATCTAAATGTTTTGCTTGTGTATCAAATGCCATTTTTATCTGCTTATTTCAGTATCTTCAGGCACTGTAAAAATAAAATATTAGAAAATAATTTAATTCCAGAAGAATAAGAACATAATTTCATTTTACAACATTGTTTAGTACTCTAGCACTTAAGTGGTCTATAAATTGCAGTAAACATTGTTTAGAATTAATTTCCATAGAGATTTCAATCAGAATTCTTGAAAGCTGTGTTTTTAGACATTTTATGAATCTGTGCTTTAAATAATTAATACACAGAATATATAAATAACCTAAGTACATCTTGTAATAAAGACATAAACTTCTAACACGAGTCTTTAAAAATTCTGATAATTTGTGTCTTTATATATTGCAAGAAAATTTTACAGAAAAGCACATAAAGTGGATAATTCATGAGACAGAAGATTCAAGTTGTGTTTTGCAGAAGTGTTCACTTTTTCATGTTATCTTCTGTGGTTTTACTCTGTTTAATCAAAATGTTTTGGTTGTGTATTATATTTATTTGGAACATATAAATATTGGGAAAATAATCAACTATATGGCACCATAACCATCAGATATCAACCATGTTGTTTTGGGGATGAACCGTGCAATGTTTTCAATGTTTTAAGTAGTGAAAGTTAGCTATGAGTTTTTCAATCTCAATAAACACTTTTTTTTCTTCATCAGGAGGTATGGGCATGTTGGCGTGAATTATTGTCATATTTGGAAGCAGAAAATAAATGGTTAAATGAGATTGAACTGAAACTCAAGGCAACGGAAAATATCCAGGGAGGTGCAGAAGAGATTTCTGAGTCTCTCGATGTAAGTGCTGACTTAAATAATATCAAATCACAGCTTTTGATAAATTGTAAATCACATGACTTTCCAAACAAACTATGAAACAACATTACACGTGATCAAGACGGAGAATATTTGAAAAGTCCTGTGTTCTCACTTGATTCAACAAATGAGGTCTTGAATTTGAATCCACCTAAGTGAAACAGGGTAAATAAATGTGTTATGCCTGATGTTATAGACAGTTTTTGGTGACAATAAAATACATGTTCTTAAAAATCATGGCCTCACTTAAGCCAGTCAAAGCAATGTTGAAGACCTCAGAGAGAGCAAACTTTCATCCTAGCACTGCAATGCTACTTATTATTACTTACTTTTTATTCATGGAACCTTTCAAATTAGTAGAAATTAGGTTAGTACTCTTAGTGGATCAAAATACAAAACATTACATTAATAATGCAGTTTTACCGTTGAACTTCATCCATTCAGAAACTCAAGCAAATTTTTTTTAAGTACACATATATTCCTACTGAACTCATTGCGCATAGTCCACGTTTTTAAAATCAAGCACCCAATTTATTGCTTTGCGAAAAATCTTTATTTGTTTTCAGTAATAAGTAGTACAGAACATTTGTTGCCAAGACACGAACATAGATATTTTTATCTTTTCTCTCTGCTTTTATTGTGTATGAAATGTGAAGTTTCTTGCATACATTTCTAAGGGGAATTGTGATTGCTCTGTAGAATCTTATTTGCAGAAAGGAAAACAAACTACTTTTTTGACCTGTTTCAGTCTTTGGAACGTTTAATGAGACATCCAGAAGATAATCGCAATCAGATTCGGGAACTGGCTCAGACTTTAACTGATGGTGGAATCTTGGATGAATTGATCAATGAGAAACTTGAGAAATTCAATACTCGATTGACCTGTCCTCCCATTAAACAGCTGACAGTCTAGAACTATTTAAAAAAAAAAAAAAAAGTATGTTATTTTGTTGGTGTAGTTCCTAAACAGTACACAAACAAAGACTTATTTTAGAAGTGGGCGGTTTGCATAGGTGTGGTAGGGTATCTCCAGTAGGTAGCAAAGCACCATACAACTGCTTGCTCACTCACCATGTCTCCTGCTGTGATGGGGGGAGAATTGGAAAGGCAAAAGCAAGAAAACATGGATTGAAGAAAAAACAAGTCAATAAGTGAAAGAAAAAAACGGAAAAAGCAAGCGATGCAAAACCAGTCACTCTCCCCCAGGAGACTGATGCCCAGTCAGTCACCGAGCAATGGCAAGTTTGGAAAAACTTCCCCCCAGTCCCCGTTTACTGCTAAGCATGTCTCTGTGTGGTACAGAGTATCTCTTTTGTCAAATCAAGTCAGCTGTCCTGTGTTCCTTCCCAGCCTCTCGCCCACCCTCAGCCTACTCGCTGGGAGGGGCAGAGTGAGAAAGAGAAGGTCTTGGCACTGTGCAAGCACTGCTCAGCAATAGCTAAAACATCCCTGTGTTACCAACACTGTTTTGGTCACCAGTCTAAAACACACCACTGTATGGGCTGCTGTGAAGAAAATTAACTCCATCCCAGCCAAAACAAGTACAATAGGTAACCCTAAAATTCCAAAATTGAAGTGACCATCTAGTGGATTTAATCTTCTATTTTCAAAATTAAATATTAGTGTAACATTTTCTTACAGGTATATACCTTGCTGAACAATAAATAAGTCTTTGTATAAATGAAAGATTTTACAAAGACACTTCAATATATAAACATGTTTAGCACAAGATTAAAATCTAGCAATATGCTAGATTAGCAATCTTTGCCACAGACTCCATGAAGAAAATTTTACTAATTCTTTGACAGATTCCACTTTTTTTTCTGGTAAATCAATTCAAAACTGTGATACTTATGCATGAATATTTACTTTTAATACTAGGAGTTTATTTAATATACATTTGTGTGTGTACTAATACAAATTGTGCGTGTATGTTTATAATGGCAGGATCAAACAGAATTCACCAAAGAATTTTATGATAACCAAAGGATACATAAGGAAATAGCTCAACTGCTAGTAGTTTATTAGTAACAAAGATGGGGACAAACTCTAAATAAATGTAGAACAACCTTACAGGACAGTGTAACAAGGCAGTTAAATTGCGGAAGTATTCAGTGCAAATATACGGAAAGTGATACTTGTGGAGGACTTCTGACTTCACATAAGAAATTTTAACTTTTGAGCTGCTACAGTTCTGAAGGAAGATCTTGGGGTTATGAAGAGAAATATCAGGAAGTCAGCTCAGTACTTGGTAAAGATCAGAAAAGAATTATTAGGGAAAAACCTAGTGAAGGACACAGAGACCCTCTTTATGATTGGAACCAGAACACGTCCAAAGATGAGCTACAAAGATTGTCAAAAGTTACTCAATTTCAAACACATAAATGATGCACAAGTAAAGATTTTTGGAAAGCAGCTTTGTTAGAATAACAACAATCTACCATAACAATGACAGCATTTTTGCTTCTTTCATGGTGCTTGAAATGTACTTGTTCTTGAAAACAGTGAAAGTAAAAATACTACAATAAAAATTAAGGAAAGGTACTCAGTGGTTCTGAGCTGAAACTTGACGGATAGGGAGGTAAAGAGCCTGGTTCCCTCTACTATACCTGGTGGTAGTTCTGGTGCAGTGCAGGCATTCACATAATCCTATATTGCTGGACAATGTCATAACAGAAAATTAAAAATAGCCTGCTGTATACCTCGGGTTTTGGTTGATTTTTTTTGATATCTAACTTCTGTTTGAAAGGAGATACATTCCCTACATTCTATTCTGCCTCTATCTGCTGGTTTTTTCCTGACTTGAAGGAGCAAACTGGGAATATACAGAAGGCTTCCAGTATGTGAAAAAAGGACTTTCAAATAGTCTTCCTGAGTCATGGATGAATACTATTCAGTCTTTACAGTAATAGTCATTAAATCAAAATTCATGTCACCTGCAGGGGTTAAATGTGGAAAGTATAACGTGAAGATGTGTGAAATTCTGGAGACGATATGGATTACTATATAAGCAAAATCTAGTAGAAATGTATTCACTGCTTTCCAATTTAATTCAAGTATAGGCAAAAAGTGGGAAGTGAGGGGGGAGCCCCTCCCCTTCTTTGAAAGCTTGATCTAATATTTAGTAGTCAAATACTAATGGTGAGATCTGTATAAGAATATGAGCTATAAAGAAACTATGTCAATCTCAAGTGACTCAGTCACACCACTTCTTTATTGCATGTTTTCTGCAACAAAATTTTATTAATTTTTCCACTGAATTCTCACACACTTTTTTTAATAGATTGCCGACACTGAATTTTCTGTGCTGTTTGTGTAGCCCTGTTGAAATCCAAACAGCATGCACTGTCCTTGCATAAAAATTCATTGCGGGCACATAGCACTATTCAGCTTGTGTTCAAGGTCACTTCTACTTCAGACAGACTAATACGATATCCTAATGTGGTTAAGTTATTTATTTTTATTTGAATAATTGTGCAGGTAATTACCAAGCTCACATTGGCAGAAACTGATATGTGAAGTATTTATTCACTTCTAATAGAGCAACCAAAACCAAACTACTGCCATATGAATGATGCTGCAAGACAATGCAGCATTGCTACTGAGATAGAGCTTCATTTTTAAAGGCAGATAATGGCTTTATGTTTGTATGCCTTATCTTCTTTAGTTAACAAAGACTGAGTGTGTTTAGTTTGCTTTTGAACATCTGGGGCTGATCGATAAGCGACATATACCTTATCTTTAGTTTTCAAGGACTGATTCACTTACAACTCTGTATATTGGATCTGAAAAACAACATTGCCTGAAGAAATTCAAGCTACTATTGCGAGTGGCTATCATCCCCTGTAATGCTGAAAGTGATTTACATCCTGTCCAGCAAACTTCAAAAATGTCAGCTAGATATTGTTGAGACAGGGCTTGCAAAAAACTGTGTAAAACATTACCGTTCAGATGGGCTTTACACTAGATTCAATTTTGATTCTTGGGGACTGTCTCTTAATGTCTTTTAGGACTCCCCTCAAGATTGCCCTTTGTTTCTTTCAAAGAGCACACATGCATCATTTGACACAATGTTTCTGTTTTGTTCTCCTCTCAAGAGGAGAAAGAATTCCTCCTGCCCTATCTCCACGTGATCACTTTGAAGGCTGTGAAGAGGGCTGCTTTGACAAGTTCTGAGGCACTATCTGTGTGCAGTGGTAACCTAAAGAGATAAAGAAGTCCTCCTTGGTATAGTTTGCAGTTTTGGAATACAGTTGCTCAAAGATGAATATCCCTTTATGGCTAAAAGGTCAAATATTGGTAGCCACTTACTTTAAAAACACGCTATGAAATATTACTAGAATTTGCAGAATTGCTTCTAGCTTGGAGGGTATTAAAAATTCCTGGGCCAAAAATGAATGCTTTGAATGTTAGAAAAGGTGTTTCTAGTTTAAATCTAAACACTAATCCACTCTGATTTCGAACAAAAAAAGTGTTGATTAACACATTAACAATTAGATGCAAAATGTACAGAGATGTTGTAGTATATCTCAGACACAACCGTTATAACACCAAAAATTAGGTTAAATTTTAAAGTAATTTAAACAAGAAGGGATTTTAAAGTTAAACTTTTCTAACTTTTAACTTTTTAACTTTACCCTGCAGTAACGTTTCTCAATAAGTAGAGAGAATAACTGAGCCCACAAAAAAGAGCTAACATATTTCTGCCTTTCTTAACAGACCCTTTTCCATGAGCTGCAACTCATGGAAGCTAATTAATGAATTTGCTTCTGCATTTTAAATAAATATAACCTGTAGTAAAAGGACTATAATTTTCGAAAGGTTTTGTTCTATTTTTCTTCCACAGCACAACTACTGACTGCAACAGTTGTTGCCTCAACAACAAAACTCTACTTGGTTTTAACAGTAAAACTCTAACCAACATCTTAGTAACTGCATGTGTGGCTAATGTCATTAAATACATGAAATGTATTATTTAAGGAAAAAGTGGCAATGTCTATAAATATAGCTTTATAACATTCAACATCAAAGAATGAACTATAGTTAGAAGCAACTGTTTGAACACCTCCAGCTTTCCTGTTATTTGATTGCCTCTCGATGCAGCGTTTCCCTTAATACGACATTTTATATAGATAAAATGCAATAGTTTCCTGCATTTATCATAAATCTTTGTTAAATTGTAAACAGATTTATACAATACCCGGTATCATAAAAATTAAATGTTATGCTTAATCATAAAAAAATAACTAAAAATCTATAAAAACCTGTAGATATTTTAATAAAAAATTCAGTCCATAAATATTTTTTTCTTTTCTCTTTCATTCTGATAGTGCCTAACAGCAGATTTTGTTGTTTGTTTTTATTTTCCTTGACAGCTGTCAACATTTCACTGGCTCAGAAATAATTAAACAGTTGGTTATTTTCCTGAGATTTCCTATTTAGCAATTAACTGTCAGACACTTCCCTTTAGAGACTAAAGCCTTCAGCTGTAGTGACTATGATCTGATAGCAAAACTAGAGCTTTCTGTTATGTCCTCAGACCCGTTTATACACTGCAACGTTAAACCATTGATTTCTTCTACAGACGAATAGAAAAACCATAATCTTTCAGAGAAAAACAATCAAACAAAAACCAAAACAGACCATCAAAACAGAAGAGCATAAATTAGATATTTTTATATTATAGGTATAGAAAAAATTCAACTTTCACATGTCTTTTAAAAATGTGCGTATATAGATTTTTACATGCATAGACATGTAAGTTTTAAGGACAAATTTGAAACTCAGGTTCACAGATGTAAGCGTGTAGCATGTCTGCCCCTTTCTGTAAAGCCCTCTAACGCTTACCTCCATCAGTAACTCTTTCCTTCTGAAACAGAGGAAGAAGCCTCCTCCGTATTGCAGCATTCCCCTTGATGGAATTGATAAGTATTCTGCAATGCCAGTGACAGTGCCGGGGACCTACTTAGTGAACAGGATTAGGTTTTTGAGTCAGCTGTTGTGTACTGGAGAAGTATCTTATGTTACATGAGTGTATTGTACCTTTTATAAGATTATTGTGAAGACTTTTTGCTTACATTTGTTGTGTGAATTGAACAGGGTCAGGGCAGAGGCGTGACTTTAGGTGAGCGTGCAGGACAGGGTCTGTTCCCAGTGAGCAACACAGACAAAATAGTTAAAGCAGCACCCATTTATATCTGAGAACATCATCATAATTGTGAAGGGGGCATTGCCCAGCATTCAGCTGCATGGTTTTGCTCCCACTGCCAAAATAATTCCTCTCTTGTACCACTACATTCACATCTGGGTCTGATATCATCCGTTCGTTTATCTAAACTGTTCAGGGTTTTTGGAAAATACATGCTTTCACCTCACCTGGAAGATTCAAAATGTCTCACAGGTTTCTCAGGCTGTAATCAAATTCTCTCTGAAGACAGTGAAAGGGGAACGTTTTGTCTTTGTGTGTGTGTGTGTGTACATACTTATTTTGTGTGCACATAAAGATATCACGAGCATGCATATATATTTATCTGACTGCATATTTGTTTCAAATCCAGCCATAAAAATTCAGTCAGACTGGGCAAAAATTTGCTGCAATTCTTTCCTAACTTTATCTGCTTTAACATTTGATCAATGAGTTCGAGAATGTTTTCAGTTTTCCATTTGTATTCTAAAACAGTATTTTGATATTTTTGATATTTTCTGCTGATATCAGCACAGAGATGAAATCACCACATACTTGTGATACAATTTTAAGACTTTTTGTGAGTTTCCATGCAGTGATAACTACTTCATTGCATGCGTGCAGGCTGCTCCTGAGACTGGCGGCAATTTATCTATACTTAATCAAGTGCTAAGCTGCAAATAGTGGTTAGAATGGGTCAGCATTTAACAAAAGTTCAAAGCTTCAAGTATTGCTATAAAAGTAGGTTTTCAGAAGGACTTAGCATCAAATTTGTGTCCAGTATATTGAATTCTCCAGAGAGTGCAGGCACTTATTTTAATGACTAATAAGACTTGGACTTTCTCAGTATCTGATTTTCAATGGTGAGACTTTGTGAACAGGACACTGCAGCCGTCAGTATGAATGGACGTGTAGATTAGTTCTACCAGTTATCCAAAGAGATGGGTAAAGGCAGAGAGGTTTTCTTCCATGCTTCCAGTAGGATGCCCTTACCCATGGGCTGCGGAAAGCTACTTACCCTGTTTCTGATCTAAAGTGTCTTTCAATCATCTACTGTATAGTGATGCAAATGAGGAGGTAGAGAGTGATTGTATCCTAGCCAGGCTTACAAATTAGTAGTAAGGAGCACTAAGGTAAATGGAAGCTGTGGTTTTTGACCCCGCTGCTTTGAACAGGCTGAGAACATTGTAATATAAAATCTCAAATCAGATGAAGGTAAAAGTCATTTAAATAGCAAGTCTTAGTACTGCGCTGTCAAGTTACAGTTTTAATGGTTCATTTGGTGGGGTAATAATACCTTAGTGGCTCAGGTGCTTCCATTAACACTGACAGCATGGGTCTGATATGAAAAGCTGCTCAGTTCCACAGAAGGTTCCTGGAACTGGCAGTGATACAAGGTTATCTGATCAGCTGTTTTGAAATAGCACAAAGCAGCTTACAAACACAAATATAGTAAATACAGGTTGGATCCCTATCCTTTAACTAACTCAAACAACTAGCGAGAACGCTCACAAGAAATAATCTTTTTCATTTGTTAAGTGTGAAGCTCTATAAAAATCTGAGCTCTGTGAAGAAGGTACAGATATATTAAATATTCTCACTGAATTGCTCAGAGATATTTTTGTTCAAGGCAAGAGTTTTGTAATAGGTATGAAATCAAATTAAAGTATAGCTGGCTCACCAAAGAGAAAAAGTGTGATTTGACTTGAAAAATGGCAGGACACCTAGCAATGTTATTTAAAGAGTGCTTGCTTGCTTTCTCTCCTCCTTTGATTCATGTTAAAGAAAGTTGGTCACTTTATTTTGTGGTCAGCGGTGTGGCTAGGTTTGTACAGAGAAAAACTGTATTGCATTTGAGGTTGTTGGTAATTATTATGTGCCTTGTATAAAGCAGAAACTCTGCAAGGCAGAAGCTGTAATCTAAGTAAAATATGAGTCCGCAGGTGGACACAATGAAAGATGGAAAAAAGTACCAGGTTATTTATTATCTGGTAAATACTATATTAAACTGTTACAAATCATAGTTAAAGCTAACCCGTTGATGTGAAGTGTTTAAATATATGTGTGTTTTAAGACAACTTGGAAGGAGAATTTATTGTTCTGATTTGGTAAACCGTAAAGTGAGCTCCTTTGAAAGAAAAGCATCCTTCTCAAAAAAAGGATTGTGTTACAGGTGATGGTAGGTAATCCACCGTGGCACTGGTGGTGGACTAGAAGCAAGAGTGAACTTCCTAGGCTAAAAGAGACTATGGTTAGGATGATAATACTTTGGGCAAGTCCACAGACAAGACAAGACAAGGATCCATCTCTTTTTTTTTTTCCATAGTAGGCATTGCCTCTGTTCGAGACAGCTATTTATTCTTCATATAAGACAGCTCCTTCCCAAAAGAGTCTTTATCCCTCTCACTTACTGAAGTGGATTGTCTCAGATGGGATTGTGATGACAGTAACCCTATCCTCAGTAAGCAAAATCCCTTGAACTATATAATAAGATCAGGAGGGCTGCTGTGCCTCAGAATGAGAGACTGCAGTATCAGGATGGTTTTATTATGCAGCTTTGCAAACTTTCACTCTGTATAGAAATCCTCAGTGCACGCATTGGTTTTTCAGGGTCCTACATTTTTTAGAACTTGTCTTGCAATCTGAGGTTTTGTTTGTTTGTTTCTTACTAAAAAGAACTGAATGGGTGGCAAAAAGATACGCAACTTATCATACAAAAAGGTGGATGAGCACAAGTCAGGAGTACTATTTTTGATTCTTTGCCTGCATTTTTTGGGGAAAAAAAAAAGGGGGGGGGAGGGGAATGCATCATTACTGCGATTATTGATAATGTTGTCATTGTTTTTAGGCCGTGAGAAGACAAAAGAGTCTTGAACAGAGTATTCAGTCTGCCCAGGAGACTGACAAAACCCTCCGCTTAATCCAAGAGTCTCTCGCTGTTATTGACAAACAGCTAACAGCCTACATTGCAGACAGAGTTGATGCAGCACAGGTCCCTCAGGAAGCACAGGTAAGTTATATACAGGTTGAACTGATCTGCTTATTAGTTATTCTCAATCAACCAACCAAAGAGTGTTTGGTTGTCCCTCAGCTTCATATTGATAACGGGGATTTGCAACACGGTTAGTATGAAAGTGCAAGTAAATTTTAGGTGGGATTACATTGAGAAATTCAGGATACTCTTCTAGTTAAGTCGTATTTTCCTTCTGGTTTGTATTATGTACCTGTCCAGAAGATGCAAAGAACTATAAATGTCATTGAAGACTGTGCAGTAATTTTAAAATGACAAAGATAAACAATATGACTCTTTAAAATCCAGTTCCCATCCTAGAAAGAAGAAACTCATAATCTTCACTACTGTTAGATGGCTCTTCTACAAAGTTGATTACGTGGCCTAGGGATTTTTACGAAATTATTGAAAACATTATTAGTTATTTCACAATGTGCACATAAGTGTACTTATATTTCAATTTTTACAGCTCATATAAGTTTAACAGAAACAGCTTTTCCCATTCTTAGGAAATGATTTATTGAGTTTTTGAAGTAAAAATGTACATCCAATTCCTATTTTTACTCTTTCATTCTTTCTTCTATAACATCTGCTTTACTGCAACATTAACATGGTAAAAATACAAATTAAATAAAACCAAATATCTCTGGTATAAAATTATTAATAGTTTACAATATTATGTACAGCAACTTCTCTGTAAATTCAACCTAAATATAGGGAGTCGGATTACAAAAGTAAACAAACAAAAAAGGCTACAGGGAAATTGAAAATGAATGTTTTACAATGATTTCAGAAGAGGCATTCAATTGTGATTTTTCTGGCATGCCTGTAGAATTTTAAATAATTCTGAAAAATTAGTGTCTTGTACGGTATAGCTTAGGTGATCTTGAATATATTCACAGCTGAATATATGTAGGCCTGAAAATCATGTTTTCTTTCCTTTAGAAATAAAGATTTCCATGTCTTTTGAATTTAAATGTAGATAGAAATACCTTTTGGTTGCTTTTCATGTGTGTGTGTTTGTAAATATATGCAGATATTTTTGTGTCTGTATGAAATTAAAAGTTATATTTAGATGGATACAAATCAGCATTTCTTAAAGATGTATCAGTTTAATTTTTCATCTTGTAATTACATAACTAATACAGAAGAAAAATTTGGTGTGAAAGTGCTTTTTTCTGGTGTATTTGGACCCTTATATTACAGCAATTTTTGGTTGTGCTTCATATATCCCATGGATGCATCTGGTTTATGTGCATCCTCTGGTACAATATTGGCAATGATTACAGACTGTAAAAGGAAGTAATTCAGAACTTCAACAACTGAAGCAGCAAAAAACTCAACTAACCTTAATTAGCACACTTTCCTGGGAAAATTTCAGCTCAGTGCTTTTGCAGAACTTGTTTTTGTTCTTGAGATTTTATTGTCTGATGTAAAGTTCACCTGATTGTACTATATCCACTGTGGGAAAACCAGCATAGAGGCTGCTGAGTTTTTCCCTTTCATGTTTTTTTATTTTAAGATGCCAGTGGGACCTAATGAAAAAAACTTAATTAACAACTGAACAGATTTAATGCAAATATTGAAGTTCTCTGAAGTTCCATCATGAATCTCTTTAAAATCCTTAGAGGGAAAGGGAATAAACAATAAATTTTATGCAGGTAGATATACTGAGTCATTCCTTCAGCGAATGGCTATGCCAACCAGTGGCAGAATAGGCACATACTGAATGGCCACATCTCCTGTGGAACTTCTGCTGGCACAGCTCTTTGTAGAGCTGAAAACCGTTCATGTGGGGTACCCTACAGTGATGTCTGGCACAGCTGGAATGGGAGTCTTTCAGCCAATGATGTTGGTTTCTGGGCAAGGGTCAGTTTATCCATGCTGAGGGATTTAGCACACTGTTTAGCAATATGTATTGCATTTCTAAAAGAACATATGGGAGAATTTATAATCAGAAAGCTCTTGAGGGTTTGGGAGCTCTGCATGTTCACTTCAAAAATTCAAATCCATTTAGAGCACGGATAGGAGGAGTAATCTTGGTTCAGCTGATTGGAAATGAATCTGAGAAAACAAAATTATATTTAGCTCCTATTTTTAAGGGAAATGATCATTTTAGTTTATTCAGAAAGTTGACAGAAAGGAGAGTTAAGTATGTGCTGCTCAACTTCTCCTTTGGATCATTTTCTGAATGTAAATTCTGTGTGCTTCTTACTCCACCATGTGGCACCAAGAATTTAATGCTAGAGAGCCACTGCCACCCAACTCATTCTGAGTACAACTTAAGATGCTGCATTCAGACAAAACAGTATAACAGCAACCGCACAGACAAATCAGGTCAGATTCCTCAAGGTGTAATGATGAAAAAATCTGGGATGAGATAAAATCTAAAACAATATTCCAGAAGGAAAGATTATTTGTTTTTATGCTTGGTCTCATAATCCCAACTGAAGTCTTTAATTTCTCTACGTTTACCAAGAAAATACAAGGAATGAAGTCTTCATCACAGGAATTTGCCAGTTGCTGACTTTTTTTCAAGTACTCTCTAACTGACAGGAAGAAAATAAATCTGTACTGAAAATACTACATTTATATGACAAAATATTTTGCAGATAATTTTTTGTAGCTGTGTTATGTAATAACTTCTGATGGGAGAGAGAATCTCCGCTTTGTACTTCTGTTTAGTCTAAGTGATTACATGGGGGTCTTTATATTATGGGACAGAAGATGCACTTATTTCAGTTCTCACCTGCATGTGACAAATCACTTGTCTGTTGTTCTCCCTGTAGACTTATGTAAAATGCAATATGGAGCATAAATGAACAAAATTGTATTTCTCAGAAGCAAAAGTAATATACTTTGCCTTTTCAATAAGCTCATTGAATAATTTCAGTTCTGTAGTGATAAGCACTACATGCCTGACTATTTTCTAAGTGAAGATGGTTATTAATCTGTGTTTAAAATATTGTTGTGCTATGTTAAAAACCAAAGTTAATGTGATGATATAAGAGTTGTTCAGTTGTGCAATGTGTTACTTGACAAGAATAATGCCATGCTTTATTGCCTTCAGACTAATATTTTGGGACAAAGAATTCGCACTTGTCTACTTAGTAAAATGTCTAATGTTAAAGGTATTTACATTTACTTCTCCTTTGCTGGAAACTGTGAGAACTATTTTGTTCAGCCATGTGTAGAACAGTGGTCAAAGAGGGAATAGCTGATAAGTGTTATTCAGAAGCGTAAGCTTACATTTTGTTATGTATTAAGTTTGAATATCTGTGCAGATTTCTGTACTCTACAGGTTCTCACACTCTACCCCTCTCCATAGCATCTGAACACTGCATTAACTGTGTTTTAAATGCACAAACCGCATTTGTCATGTCCAACTTATTCAGTCTTGCCTTGTCAGTCATGTTTCTGTCCTCTAATGATTTTCTCTTCTCATTTGGACTCTTCAGTTAATCTTTCTTGAAGAGTAGCATCCAAAACTAAGTATGCTGTTCTTGTTGAGACTTACCTGCATGTCATTTCTGCTATAACATCATCTGCTCTATGTATTCCGTGTTTTTCTTCTTTTTTTTGCAAAGGTGTGACATCATTGGCACGTATTCATTTTGTGCTTTTAAAGATGGATACTTCAACTACATTTTTCTAATATTCTGGTACTTTGTTTATCCTTTCAGAGTTTTCAAAGGTAATCTCTAACAGTTATGAAATTGTTTAAGATATTTTTTTTATGTCTGCTAGAATCATGGTCTTTCCCTTTATAAAGATTAACTTACCAGAATGCTCTCCAAATGTTTTGTTTTGTCCATACATTAGGCTGAGATCTGACTCCCTAGGTATTGATGGCAATCACAAAAATAAGCAATAATGAGCTTGAATTGAGCACTATTCTTGAGATCTGTTAGGCTAGCTAAGTAGTATTTAGAGAAATACAAATCAGAAAACCTAATACACCAAGAAGAGCTGGCAAGCTGTTCTTTGCAATTCAAGAGAGCCAAATCTGCAAATTCATATCCAGGCAATTTTGGTGTAAGAGTTATGTGAAGGACTCATTAATTACAAAGGTAATCTAGTATAGTTTGAGTTCATAATGAATTAGATTACAAAAAAGCAGAGAACAATTAGAAGTTCACCGTTTTGGCTGAATTATATCATACCATCATTATCTTCTTGTGACACTGCAGAACTCATAGGGTTGCGTCAAATCCAGGCTTTTCTGTGCAGTAGATCTTCATTAAATCCACAGAAGAAAAGCGATGTTCTAGGCTAAGTTTAGAGCTTTTTCTCCCAGAACAAACAGTGGAAGAAACTTAAGGCAATGTAATTGCCCTTGTCTTCAGATCCACCACTTACTGCTGACAGATTTACTACTCCAGCTGTGTAATTTTCAGTTCTTGAGAACTAAACAGTATCCAGTTGCCCAATACTAGTATTGCCTGATATATTTTGTTGGAGGCTGTGGAATACGGACAGATGAACATGGATGTAGTAGAGGATAGTATAACTGCTTAGTTTATTTTGTATAGTATGTTTTGTATAACATGTTCAGCTTAAAAATGTTTAAAGGGATTCCCGTATTCATTTTCTGGCATCCTCCAAACTAAGGTGAAAAACCTTCTATCTGAGAGCAAACAAATATGCTGAGCTGGGAGCAGCTTCTGGGAGTCCAGAGGGACAGAAAAGGACATTACCCCTGGGCTGCCCCTGGTTCCTCCCACTGCAGGAAATCATGTGAGAGCAGGGGACGGTGCCACAGCCAGCACTCAGGGGTTACCTACATCTACTTACCATAAATTCTGCCTATAGCTCAGGATGCTGCTGAAAGTTGCTAGGCAGGAAAGAAACCTTGTGAGGAAAGGACCAACCCTTGCAAAATTAGAGAGAGGTATAAAAAGGTCTTACTGTTTACTATATATAACCCAAGAGATCCAACTGTCCTCCCTTTAAGGAACTACCTGTCTCTAGTGTATCACCCCATGTTTCCACAAATCTCTGCTGTAGAATGGATAGCCTTTTGATGTCTTTCGTTAAGCTTCCCATGGAGAAAATAGGAAATAGAACATGTTTCTTCTTGAAGATTTGGCTAGGTTTTTGTCACAGAATGAAAATAACCTTTTTGTACAGGAACAGATTTTATAAATCAGGTTTTTAATTAGTAAACAGGAATTTATTAATAATTTTTCTGCAATGGACTTTAAAAAGAAAGAGAAATCAGAATGACAAAAAGGAAGAAGTGTGGTTAATTTTAGCAACTTTATTTTAACCTTATCCCTTTGCTGCCACAGTCTTGAATGAACTACAATTTATTATGTTTAGCGTATTTTTTGTGGAAGTTTATAAATCAAATTGAGACTAGTAAATTGGCCACTCTTATTACAGTGCATGCCCATAGGAAATATTTCACCTATTTGTTGCGCATTCTAGAGTTCAAGTGACACCAGGGTTCCCTGTCCCATCTTGGAATGTGTTAATGTATGTATCACTTGCATCTTTCTTCTTCTGGATTTATCCACCTTTTGAGAACTTATCATTTTGCTGATCTTGGTGGTATAGTCAGTATTGACTGCAAAGTAATTCTTCCCTGTGTTATGAATTTCTGGCAACTAATACAATACAATACAGTGAAGTCTGGCAACATGAAATTAAGAAGTCTTGGAAGATAATATGCACTGTAATATACATCTCCTGTGACCTTTCTCCATTCCTGAAGTAACAGAACCCCTTCTTCCTTCTTAAGGAGCAGACAAAAGAGGTGAGAAGTTTCTCCCAGTTCTGGGGTGGAAAATGGTCTCTCTGATCTGCTATGAGAAAGCAGTTTCACCAGTATGTTTTCCAGAGTGTCTTTCAAACTTCTTTTTCAACTTCCTGATACTACACCAACTGGAACTGTCAGCTATTTCTGTACTATAGTCCTTGCAATGTTAGTCGTATTAAAATCTGTGTTTGATGTGTACTCCATCTAGTCTTTTTTCCAACATTATTCCACAGTATTATTTAGATGTATATTATAAGTTTGTATTTTTATCCTTTGATTATAAATAAATCACTTCCTTTTAATTAAATACACAAGGTTGGGGTTTTGGTTTGATTATTTTTTTCCCCCAAATACTCTCTATTGTTGTGATGTTGCTGAATATTTCTGACTGGCATTTCTTTGATTTTTATAAATATAATGACTGATTTTCTAATTAGGTTAGCAGGTATTAATGGGAAGTGATATATAATCAAGCCTTCTAGTTCAATTTTCTGTTGCAAATAACCTTACAGAGATGTTGTTTTTTTTTTTCATATGCCCTGTTACCTTTTTTCTAAATGCTATTCTTGAAGGTTGAGATTACAGTTAGGTTTGTGACAATTCCCAAATGAGACAAATAGTCATATTGGTTCTTTTGGCTTTCTTTTCTCTGATCCAAGATAGGAAAGCTTTTTCCAAGAACTGGCTACACTGCCATTTCTCTGCTTTTTGCTGTCAATACAGCAAGACTCTCTGTTTTCAGTTTTCTTTTCACTAGTAAGTCAGAAAAACGATGTGTTGCATGCCCTTGGGACTGAAATCTTTCTGTTCTAGGAGTGGTCCTAATGAAAACAGCCACAATCAGTGCCTTTAGTCTTGTAAACATAAGTAGGTTTTATGTATTTTAATTTATGTATTTATATGTGTATATATATATAAATAAAAGTTTTGCAAATTAATAAACTTCCTGAAAAAATGCCAATAATGGAAAATGAGGATCCTTAACCTGTAAGATAGAACAATTTATGCACAGTAGTATTTATTAGTTACATAAACTACATTATATTGTGATGTTCTAGAAATGAATTGAAGACAGTTTTTACTCTTTATTAAAAGGCAAAGTAGACAGGAACCACTAAGAAAAGCAAAGGTGGGAATAATAGAAATGAAAGAATAAAATTAGTGGGTTTTTGTGGATGTTTAGAAGAAGTCGATGTAATAAATTCACGAGTCAAAACGGATAACAAAATCAAAATAGTCATGTCAAAATTGAATGAAGAGGGTCATCGTAGGCAGGTATTAGGAATTCTCTTTTATCTCTTCAGGAGTGATTTAATACTTCTGCCTGTGAACAGCAGTGGCAAATACAAAAAAAATCTTTTCTGGCTATAATCTTTACAAACTTTTCTTTTAGGTTTTGTTCTAATGTGTTTGTTCTCTCTAATTCTGTATTTTAATGTGAGTAGGTGATGCTTCATCTCTCTCCTGCAGACTAATTTAAAAAAGACAGGACAATCTCCATGCAGTGCCCCATAATATCTAATTGCTTAAACACTACTCTTACCCGTACTGTACTGTTCTGACCTGTTCAGATAAGAACTGTTCAATTATATGCTTTCCAGAGTGACTCTGAGGTTGAACAGAGTAAACTACAAAAGGAAACCAAAAATAGTCGATGAAGTGCAGAAGCAGACAGTTGAAATACTAGGTGTCATATAGTATAATTTTCTAACACTCAGACTTGCTTTTTCCTTGTATATACAGTTCTGGCTTCCAAGACGTCAAGAAATTATTTGGCTTCAGGAGCTAACTAATGCTGGGTCACCACCAAAATTTAGTTCCTGTGCTACACAAACACAGAAGATAATCCTGTTACAATTCTACTGCGCATCAAGGGGGAAATTTTAAACTTAGACAAGGAGGAAATAAATACTCCAAAATAAACTATTAAATAAAGCTTCTCTCCTTGATTGCATTGTTGTTTTAATTGACCGTCTTTGCTTTCTCAAAACTGAAATATCATATTTAGAAAAATTCTATTACTTGCTCCAAATGCTGCTGACCATTCAGTAAAAAGCCTTAACAAGAACTCAAAATAGGAAAAATAGAAAATGGAAAATGTTGATAGTTTTAGATGAAAAAGATCATCTAAATTGACAGCTTTCTGTCAATCATTTTGCTTTTACAAGTGCTTTGCTTCAGAAAAATATTTTATTTCTCTAAATAGTACTGGATAGTTTGGACTCATATTTTTGCATTTAAATTTAGTAATAAATTAGTAGTTGTTTGTATTTTTGTAAGTCTTTTTCTCTTAAAATTAATTTCAATACATTTTCAATATAACTTGTGAAAAAGTGATTTCAAGGTAATGTTGTAATACACAAGACATTATAACGTTACACAAGTCATTATAACTATGTAATATCCCTATAAAGTAGAGAGCATACAGTGTACACAGCTTTGTACTTAACCTATGAAAATGAGATTAAAATACCTATTTATTCATTTGTGCTTATAATCAAAATTTAGAGAATCAAATTGTAATCTAAAAATCCCTTTCCTTCATTTGCGTAATTCTTTGTAGTCTTTTGAACTATGAGTTTTCATATTTTACAAGTTACTGTAGTGTAAGATAAGTGCATGTGCATGTATTTACTTATAGCTAGCCTTTAGAGTATATGAGAAATGCTTGTGTACCATAGAAAAAAAAAAAAAAAAAAAAAAAGATTAAATCTAAATGTTTCATGCAGGAGCAATGGCCTCAAATGCCTTTCCTGGTGGGAACATACCTTGTCTATATTTCATAGGGTAATTGTTCTCAGTAGTACTTGTCTAGCAATTCTGCTAATAACAGTTTCTCATTTTCTAACAATTTAAATGTAAAAATATCTGAACTGCTCTAAATTATGTTGTATCAATATACTTTATGGGAATTCTTTTCCATTACATTCACTAGCCAACACTGCTTAATTGTTTTCTGTAAAGTTGATTTATGGTGAACTAACAAAGCTGATATTTTTCTTGTGATAATTTGATTGCACACTGGTTTTGCAGAAAGAGATAACCAGAAATGTGTGTTAGAAAATGGATTAAGTTAGTGTCCTAATGACCTACATGTCATTATGTGTTTAGCATACCTACAGATACTGAACATAGATTCTGGTCAGTAATGTAACAGAAATTGTATACTATTTGAGATATAACACAACTCTGTGAGATGAAGATGTTGTTATACATACAGGATACATTGATTAGTTTTCTCTCAACTTGCTTTATGATACTGTGAAAATAATAAGAAATAGGAATAGTGAAGCAAATCACTTTTCTATTTGTATTTTTCTTTTCTCTGATTAATTTTTAGTTTTCTTCCCAATAAAAGTAGTTGTTTTCCTTCAGAAAAAATAATTGGGGGATTTTTTTGCATAAATATTTTTTTTAATCACAATTTCCTTGGCAAGATTATGTCATTAGTGTCACAATGTCAGTTATATATGTTTGAGCAGGAGAATAAGGTTTTATTATGATCGAGAGAAACTACACTGAATAATTTACAGGGTGGTGAACAAGAAATTCTTTGAATAGTTTCCTCTAATAATCAGGTATATGTGTAGTACTTCTGTTTAATATCTTTCAAAACCAACTCTTCCAAATAATAGTAACAACATAAACATTTTCATCAAACCCTGCTGATTACTGTCTTTGTTTTTCAATAGAAAATACAATCTGAATTAACAAGCCATGAAATTAGTTTAGAAGAAATGAAGAAGCGAAACCGGGGTAAAGATGCTGCCAAAAGAGTGCTTTCCCAAATTGATGTGGCACAGGTATGCAAATTTTATTTCCTCCATTTTTCCTTCAGTCATGCAAACCAGCAATGTGAGTAGTATTATTACTATAGTATGAAGTGTTCTTAAGGTCTCTCTTCTGTTTTAGCTGCTCCTTTCTTGCCAGGAAATTAGTGTGGATAAAGCGTACCATCCATATTTTCTTACTGCTCATTTATTTATTACAGCTTTCCTATCTCGTTGGCAGCAGTTTTAGGGTACACAGACCTGATGTAACCAACTGGCAGGGACACTATATAAGGGGTGCTTTGAATGTGCTGCACTTGCAAGAAATAAAACTACAGTGAGGCTTTTTGGTACATGCTTTGAAGGATTTGAAAATATTTACATTTAAAAGTATGTTGAAATTTTTGGTAGAACTGCATTTGAAAGACAAGTCTGTGCTGAGCAGTGTGTTGCAGTCCTCAATTTAAAATGTTAGCGAATGAATTATTTCATTAGCTTAATAAACATAGAGAAACCTGTGTGAAATTGAAGAAGACTTAATTAACGCTTAGGAACAATATACATTTTTACCAATTAATCTGTGATGAGTTCTTGACTGTTTTGCTGGTTTTGTTTCTGGCATTAGTGCCAAAGTTCCCCAGGCTAAAAAACAAATTGTCATAATTCGTTAGGAAAGACAAAGAATTTTGTTATGGTATTAACAGTAAACAAGGCCATCTGTTTCTTCATCTCTGTCAAATATTTCTAGGTATCTTAGCTTCAGTTTTATATTTTATTATGGAAAACAGTAATGGCTTTTATAACAGTTAATTAATTTGAAATTAACAAGTTGAATTTTTTTTTAAATGCTTCCTCTTATCTACAGGACTAGCTTTTCTTTGTTGAGAAAATTTATTTTTCCTTTTTTTTTCTGTCTTCCTTCACACTAACTCACCTTCTGATGGTCTCCATGGCAGCTGTGATGTTGCCCATATTTCATCAGTGAAATGCAGGCATCAGATGACTTTGTATCTGAATGTTTATAAATTAAACAGCATGCAAGGGAGCACTACCCTTTCTCGGTGCCCTCTTTTTTTTTTTCTTAATCCATCTTTATGCACTTTTTTTTTTTTTCTTCTAAAGGCTTCTCTAGATGACCATATGGACCAGTTTGAGTTTTGACAAATTGGGGGTGTCATTTTGAGAATCTGTTTTGCTTACATTAGAAAAAAATATGAACAAAAAATAGCAAATTGACATGTATAATGTAAATACCAACTACCAAAGAAGGGAAAAAGCTGAACCCTTTGTTCCAAATATTTATGACTATATTTGATTTTAGGCCAGTGAATTCTCTTGAATTCTTTTCCATTATTGAGCAGTACTTTTAGTGGTAAATTACATTTCTTTCTCCTTCACTTATTTTTTTTCTTGAAGAGTATTCTCACTTATAAATAAATACTGCATGTTTTTTCTTCTTTTTTCACTAAGTAATATTTCTAATGTGACATATAGTTATTCTAATATTAGTTCAATTGCCTAGACAGAAAGTAAACAATTATGAAAATAAGTAATTGCAATGAGATTGTGAAACAACTGTTGAATGACCACATGTATCCTGACTTTTTGGATTACTGTAGGTTGAGAGTTAAGTTCTGATTTTTAAATTTAAGGGAAAAAGAATGATTAGCAAAACAAAAATTGATTTCTGCCATAGTGATTTGAGACCTAGTTAGTCCTACTAGGCTAAGAATTGTTACATGAAAGTGAAATCTTGTCTGAGGAAAGGTTATTTTTGGAAATTCAATAGTAAATGCTATGTGGGAAGAAATTACACAGCAGACAAATGACATTCTTGTTTCTTTATTACTTTCATCCGCCTTTTAAGGTAAACACACTTGTCAGACTAAAAAGATACTCAGTTCACTCCCTTCCCTTACCACATTACTAATTCCAAGTGGTACTTTAATATTATTTAATGTAATAAAATATAAAAAAAACCCCACGTTAAATCTCTAAAAATATTTAATTTCCTGTAGTTTTGCTTTTGAATAACTACAGATCCTTCGCTTCTAAAGAAGGCATTTTCCTCAAATCAAAAATGAATGATACTGACTTAGTTGCGGGCTTTCCTCTTCTCCCATCAGTTGTTGGTGTGCTCTTTATCTAGGCCAGCTAGGTTTGCCTACTACTTGCCTACTGAGTATTGCCATCAATTCAGCTGTTGATGTGAAGTACATTCAGCTGACTAGACATATTAAGTATTTAAGAATCCTGATGTTGCTTCTCACCAAAGATCCATTTAGCCCAAAACTGTATCTTCAGTAGTAGCCAGAAGTCAGTGACAAAATGCAGAAAGGCGACTATTTAGTGATGCTTCCCAGTGATTTTCAGCTAAGTAACTTCTGGGTCAGAGATATTTAAAAGCTCATGTCTGAATACTTTCTGACATCTCCTAAATTGCTGGAATGCTCAACTTCATTTAACAGCTAGTTACACAATTTAACTAAATGCTATGTGAAGTTGTCCTTCCTTTTGTTCACTTTCATTTCCCTATACGAGAGTTTAACTTGATGTCACCTTCTTTGTGAATTTTGAGAAACAGTTAACAATTATTTGCTAGTCAACTTTTGCATACCACTAATTTTACTCCTCTGTTGTCTGTCTCTATCTGTTGTCCTCTGTTGTACTGAGACCATTAGATATATAGCTTTGATAGTCCTGTCATTCTTCTTTATACATTTTCTATTTTTACATTAAGTTTTTTAAGGAGGGATGATCAAAACGGTGTGCATTATTCAGGTACGATATAGCTTTATACAATGACTTTTATACTGTGATAGGTATTTTCTTTTTTGTTCTTTATGTTCCAAATCATTCCAAATACCTACTTTGTTCAGCTGCTTTAAGTATTGAGATATTTTTTTAAAACCATCAGAGGTAAATATGAGTACATAACTGTTATAGCTATCTATTATAACTCAAGTGAGAGTACTAACAGATAATTTAGATCCCACTTTTTGTGTATCGAGCTTAGTGATGTGCTTTACTTAATTTTTAGATTAATTAAATATAATTTGCTTGTCTTTTTCCTACAGATCTTCAGTGCACAGCAGTACTTCAGTGACTCTTCGCAAATGTCTTCTCTGCCATTAATACTGTCATTCTTTCTCTTGTAGATCATTTTTAATGTATTGACAAACACAAATTGTAACAGATACTGATGTGATATTGCAAACTTCCCACAGGACTTGATCTTCATATAGTTGAAGTGTCACAAGAGAATGAAAAACTAATTAAGTATGAATTTAGTGAACGCGAACACGCTGAAGAAAAATAAGAACACTTATTCCTACCTTTTGTTTCCTATTTTTACTCAATTGTTCACTTATTTATCTAGGGAGACTTCCTTTCTTATCCCATCAGATCTCAATTTCATTAAGTGTATTTAATGAGGAAAGTTGTTAGAAGGAGTTGCTGGAAATCTACGCAGTTTTCTGTGTTACACAGAATTGTCGTCATCTTATGACTCCTGCCCCCTTCACAGAAATCTGATAGATGTGGGAAGCATTTTTACTAATGCCTATGTATAGGGTAATTCTATTCCATATTACAGTTATTCTCGTTTGTATCGTACAGACAATGCTGTATTGGTATAAAGTGTCCAGGATTTGAAGATAAAAAAAATCAAAAGTGTGTTTGCAGATGCTGGGTTCCTGTTTAACTACTTATCCATTTCTTAGTGATATACATTCTTTTTTTTTTCCCCAAACAGTAAGAAAACTTATTCTACTAGTACTTTGCTGTGTAATTCTACAGAAAAATTAGTTGTTATTCAAGTAGATAATTACAATGCCCTTGCTTTGCTTTATTTTTAATTATTTCCCCTCCCCCTGAGGTAGGGAACATGTGAGCAAGCAATATAATTTATGCACAAAGATAACAAATTGTGAAAATTGTGAAATTAGAAGCCATGCTTGTCATAGATTTTTCTGCCTTCAAATTACTTTCTTTTTACTCTAGGTTATGATTTTTTAAATTGAAATAGAAATTAATTTTGTACTCTAAATCTCAGGGGTTTTGCTAGACCTACTTACTGCTGAGCCACTTCATTTGGGTTTCTTTGAGGGACTAAAAGATTCACTCCTCATACCAAGAAATAGCAACATGGCAGAGTTGATGAACATCCGCTCTGGAAGATGGATGTGTTATGCTCAAGCCATTAAACCTCCATTCTTACCCCAACATTTTGCATACTGGAAAATACAAAAGCTCTCCCTTTCTTCAGTTGAGTATGTTGGCTCTTCTGTCAATCACTGTGCTGCACCCAGTGCACTGGATGTTACAAGAAATTTTTTTCCTCCTGTGAAGACCAAGATTCTCTGTTGCTCGTATTTCCCCAAAAAGTTTTAAATTCTTTAAATGAGAAACTGCTGATTGATAATGGATTCTAAATATTCCGAAACAGATCTAAGACTTGTCTTCAGTGTTGATTTGATTTCACATTTACTACTCACCCATGCTTACTTTTCAGAAAAAGCTGCAGGATGTCTCCATGAAGTTTCGCTTATTTCAGAAGCCAGCGAACTTTGAACAGCGCCTACAAGAATGTAAAAGAATTTTAGATGAAGTGAAATTGCAAGTGCCCAAGTTGGAGATGAAGAGTGTGGAGCAGGAAGTAGTACAATCACAGTTGGATCATTGCATGGTGAATATTTAAAGATGCTCTCTTTCTATTTCTTTCCTGCCTGTTCTTCCTTTCAGATTTAAAATATTTTCAATGACTATGCCAATATTTCTTTGTGAGATATTAGAAAAGATTCTGAGAAAGATTTACGAGCAAAGTTACACAACAAAAGTTATAGGAACCTTTTTAGTTAAAGTTTGATTTTTTCAAGGAGAGGAAGATAGAGAAGGGGTTGATCCTTGTCCTACTTCTCTTGTTTGCATATGAGGTTAGAATGATATTGTCCACTTAAAATTGTATTCAATTTCAAAGTTTCCCAGGATATAATAACATGATGAAATGTTTCTAACAGTCTTACAATACATTTTTCCTTTCTATATGTTGTTCTTCTGTCACAGCAAAAACCTCTCAGAAGCATGAGATGCTAATTAAATAAGTGAAAAATTTTGCAAGTATGAATATATCTGGAGAAAGCTAAAAATTACAGAATGTTGTCCTGAATTCAGGATGAAAAACAAAGTATCAGTCACTCACAAAATTGGAAAAAAAAAATCAAAATATTCTCATTTCAGTAAACTTTCAAACAATGGTCATGCACTTTCACTGTGTGAGAAGGCCAGTCAGGATTCTTTTCTAATTTCCCCTTTCCATCGTGCATATGAGTTTATCTCCCTGGATAAACTCTATCTTCCACAGTGTGCTACAGTCATGGAACTCTGTGATGTAACCAAAAGAGATGTTGCAGTGCACAAATCTGTTCTAGCCAGGAAACACAAAACATAAAGGAAATCCATAAAATTCAACTTCCATGACATGGCATGCTGTGACTTTTTTACAGTTCAAGAGCAAAAGATGATGTGTATATGTCCTAAAGAATATGAGGAAAATCTGTATGTGTCCCCTTAATATCCCTGTAATCCTGTACCCCTTTACTGTGGAAAGGAAGTGAAGATAAAGATGAACACCGTGTGTTTGATGATAACAAAATGGAGATTATTTGAGATTTTAACAGCAAAAATCAGGGTAATCAGATCTTTTTCTTTAGATGTTTTTTTTTTTTTTTGAGCAATGGCATGCCTGAAGATGAGTGTTTTTTCCCTTAGCCTTTTTCAGATCTGAATGGAAGAATTTTAATTAAAAAATAAGCATGGAACAAGTCAATGTTATTTCTATACATCTTGGGTTTTTCTTAAATGAAATTACCCTTAAATTCACATTCTTATCAGAATGACATGGTAATTAGAAGCCCTGTACTGAATTAAAGTATCGTCACTCGACAACTACTTTTTGAGCCATGTTATATTCTGTGGAAGACTGTTTTTAGAATATCTTTATCTGCAAAGAATCTCATAATATTTATATTTTAAAAAAAAATCTAGTCATAGTATCCCATCAGATGTTAGCCAATGTACATCATACAACAGCTTTCTAATTTGTTGATAGGTTTTCAGTGATGAAGAATGTATTTACCATATTAAGCACCTAGAAAGCAGTTGGACTATATACATACTACCTTTAAGTAAATAAAATAATAACCATGTTAATAATTAACTTGGTAATTAATTTCAGATTATGGAGAAAATGTGGTTGGAGTTTTTTCTGTTGCCAGATCTGCTGGGGAAAAAAGTTGTCATTACTGTCCAGATGTACTAGACACACATTTTGCATTGCAGGAGATACTGCTACTAAAAGAAACACTTAAAAAAATAGATCAAAAATGTACAGCGTAATTTATTTTGCAGTTCTGTCTAAGTGTACAAGACAGAAAGTTTATTTTCCAATGCATGATGGCAAAATGCTGGAACACAGAATTAAGTGAGATGTCTCAACAATAAATCTTCTCAACAGCTTCGTTTGTCATTCTTCAGGTACCTGTGTGGTAGTGGACACTGTGTACCTCTGTGGAGTCTTTTTCCACTGTGGAGTTTATTGGAATTTCCAAGCCATGGCAGAAGTTATTCTTAGATTAAAAAAAAAATAAATAAATTCAACTTCTGCTCTACTTAAATGAATGTTAATTGGGCATTTATGTGGCTGCTAAATGGCTTGAGTTACCAAGCCATACATTTAGATGATGATACTGACTTTCTGCATTTAGAATGAAAGAACACTTTTGTTCTTCTTAGTATCACTCATTTGAAATATTAGGGAAAGGTATCATGTCTATGGATTGCTTGCATGCCATCACTTACTGAACAGCTGTTTATCCCTTATTTTTTGCTTAGTCATTGAAATAGTGCATGAAAATGCAGTGAATTATATAATATATTTTGGCTTAACATCATTACACTACTTTTCCATGTATTTTTTTTAAAAATTATTTAATTTTTTAAACAGTATTACACTTGGTAAATGTAGGGGAAATCCTCTATCCTACCAGTGTCTTGATTTAGTAGTATGAAATCTGTCAGATTTTTAAATGAGTGTGGTGGCTATTTGTAGTTTAAATAGATCCAACAAGCTGTATGAGTTGACAGAAGGCATCTGTTGTTGTTTTAAATACTGCATTATCTAAATCAGTTTGAACACAACCTTTGTCATATTTAAAAACAATTCGTGATAGTGTGTACATTCTTATCTATAACATTTCTACCATTGCTTTTGGTGACAAGTCTTTGAAGCCAATATTAGTAAAGACAAGCTGTTCTGAATCTGTTAATTTGAATTCCGATTTACAAACTAATGAATTTTTCTTATAAACTTTTAAAAAATATACGCACATACTTAGAGTGAGTTCTCTCTATGCTTAGGTGACATACCATGGTACCTCCCAACTCCTTTAGCTTTCAAGTGAGAGCGCAACGTGCTCAGTCATGCATGATGGTGTTTTTATACAGCAAACATTGCGAAGACTTCTAGTGTGTCTTTATAATACCTTCAACAGTCTTTTCTGGTTTACTTATTTTAATGGTGATATTTCACTTTCATATTTCTGTTTGATTAGAAATTATATAAAAGCCTGAGTGAGGTGAAGTCTGAAGTGGAAACAGTAATAAAAACTGGAAGGCAGATTGTTCAAAAGCAGCAGACAGAGAACCCAAAAGAACTGGATGAAAGGCTTACGGCTTTGAAGTTGCAATATAATGAATTGGGTGCAAAGGTAAGCTCTGTCTTGTATGTACAAAACTATGCTCCGTTTTTAACTGGTGAAGTGAAGAATAATTTTGGTATGGTAAGTAAACAGGGTTTTTTAATTGGTTCCTTTCAAGGCCATCACATTTTTAAACAGTGGGACAGAAAGAATGGAGGCAAAGGCAATCATCAGGATGTCTATTCAGTTGCTCTGAGAAAAAATAAACTTCTAGAAAAATATATAATTTCTTTATTACAATCTAAAGTTATACTTTCTTAATGTTTTAATTTATTTTTTCCAATAGTTCATTGGTTTTTAGGGGTCAGAGGGGGATGTTGTTTCATTTTAATGCCCCAAAGTCTCTTCTTTCAAAACACTTAGGTCAGAAAAACAGTTAGATTTTGTTTGTGATTTCTTTCATGTTTTGCGTGAAGAGCCACTTCATAAAAGAGAGAATTCTACCTTTTCATTTCGTTCTGCCTCTGACTGTACAGATCTTTACGTATATAATTTCCATTTGTTGCCGTTCAGAAATATGTTGACCAAAAATTCTTGTTAGTGCAGCTTTCCTCAGGATTTGTGTTCCTCAGCATTTGTGTACCACTCTCCTTGCTGCATCTGCACTCTTCACTATACGTGTTCAGTTATTGTCATAACCGTTCGCTGGTTTAAATTACTTATCTTTTCACTGTATCTTAATATGTAAGCCACACAGAATATTGTTTAGTTATCAGTATGTGGAATAACTGTCCCATTGTTATACATCTCACATTCCAGTGAACCCTTGTTTATAATTTAGTCGTATCATTCTCCCTTCCTTTGGGATTGTCAAATTTCTTTGTGTCGAGCAAAAGTAAATCATCATCCTTTGAGCTCTATAATGAAGAATCTATTGCCTTGAAATACTTTTGTTTTGGTTTGGTTTAAATCTGATATTTATACAGTACTCAGTTTGATCACTCAGTGAATGTTGGCATGTGATTAGGAGGATTACATGAATACGTTCCCAATATTCTTTTGTATAATCTCAGTTTGACCACCAGAAAAAGAACAATAGTTCTCAAAATGCAGCAGACTTTTACCTTATGATGCCAATGATAATTTATTTCTATAAAATTAACCTTGTAGGATTAATCCCTATTAATTTCCTGAGCACTGTTAATCCTTGTGTAAAATTTCCATCTATACATCATCTGTTTCTTTATTGATTCATATACACTTAATTCCTGTTACACTTCCCAGCAGAAGAATATTTTGTTTATTCAATTTTTCCTAAAATTCAACTAAACAGGCAGTAGGAAGGACAGACTACTAACCAATATTAACAAGACTGTGTTGAAAATAAAATCATACATCAATCCCTAAAAGCTTTTTATTCTGGGCCTGCATTGTCTATGTAGTTATTGCCCACTCCTGAAGTAGAATGCTCTACAACGACCTTTGACCTCTGAAGAGGAGTTGTGATATTGTCCTAAAGATGACTTCATGCAAAGAATTCGATTAACAACTATCCATCCTTCATTACTCTTGCCCTCATTAGAACTATCCACAGAACTTGTGAAAAATGTATTTTGTCAGATTATAAATTATTAAAACAATAAATTATTACTAGCTAGGAAAATGAGCCCATGGTGATATTAAGAGTCAGTATGTGGCTTAAACACATAATGATAATCAAGCCCCACTGACTACAGTATGATAAAACAATAAGAGTTATGTCATTTTTGACAGAGATAATACTCATTTGGGAACCTGAATTAAAACAGTTCTCTCTCTGGATGGAAAATAAAGGTATTAAGAGACATCAGTCTTTTCAGTGTCAAGAAAACTGAAGAGTCTGCTTCATTAAGGTGTGGATAGGTATCATTTGAGATCAGATAATATATTTGGTTTCTCCATTATTTTAGAAAGGACTGAAGCATTTATTTCTACATTATGTTTAACGTAAGGTCAGACAGGTGCCATCGTTATAGGAAACCTCTCTTAACTAATGAAGGAGTAAAAATGTGCCATTAGGAAGCCATTAGTGATCTGAAGTGAGCCATATTGCAAATTAATGTGTCTCAAAAATCTGCAGTGCTGTGTTTAGCTTTGTTGTCCTAGATGTAATTTCTCACATTTACTTTTACATAGCATGGTAGTTAACAGTTTTAGAGAGTGTCACAAAAGCCCAGAGATGCAGAACTAAAAGAATCAGTTAGCCATTATCAACCCTAATTGATTGCATTGAGTCAAAGTCCTTTTAAGAGAAAACTGATAATAGTTATAACTAATAGTAAGTCTCAGGACTGAAATTATAGTCTGAGGGAAAAGCACATCCTCAAGCATGGACTCAGTTGTGTGATTTCATATGTACTTCTTCAGGAGGACACCCATAATTAGAACAACCCTCAAGCATGTTTTTAAACACATGTATTGGTTTAATTTAAACATGTTGAACAATGGTGAAGTGCCCTCAAATCAGGAAAATTATTGTAATTTCTGATAATTACTGTACATGCTTTGTTTTTTTCTATGTATTTTAGGTATCATAACTTCAGACTCTTTGAGCCTAGAAATCTTCCCCTTAAGAAGAAGGGGATGGTGTAAGGTGTTTTGTTTTGGTTTTTTTTTTTTACTTGTTGCTGGGTTTTTTGTTTGTGGGTTGTTTTTTGTTGGTTTGGGTGTTTTTTTTACATATATACATATGGATATAAATACCTGTGAATGGTCTGAATTGCTTAGGCAGCATCAGACCTTAAACGTTGCTTTGGTCTAGGAAAGAGCTTTGTCAGTTCAGACCATCGAATTTTGCCCTTCATTTCTAGCCAAATGTGATTTAAAAGAGCGAATGCTAAAACTTTAGCAGTGACCTCAGCGTAAATAGGTTTGAGATGAAATTGCAAGAAAAAAAAGTGTCATTTCAATATCGTGGTGTAGTGGTTGCATTTATGATAAATATCCCATGCTTGTGCTCGCTTACGCATTCACTCGCCCCTCTGCCACAAGCACATATGCACATATACACGCAAACAACTATATTACAGCATAGGTAGTTTGTTAGTTGGGAGTGGTTGTGAGGTAAGGTCTGTAGCATACTTGTGTCATATCTCTCTATAGTAATTCATCAGAACAGGGAGCTGGAGAAAGTGGCAGTAATAGAGTTCTTGTTGCTCTCCTAAAGGCATTGCATGTAGAACGGGCTGTTACTTACATGGTTGGGTCTTTGCTCACAATTCCACTGCTGCACAGGAATTTTTGGCTATAAGACTAAAGGGCTGTAAAATACCTTTCTTTTGCTTTAGATACCTGCTTTTCTCATTTTACTTTTGTTTAGTACAAGAATTCTTGCGAGTAAACTATTTAATATAGCTAAAATAACTTTAAAATATAGAGAAAATTCATGGAGATAGTACATTTGATATCACCTTGTGATACATAAGGCCTTTAGAGGGCACTGTTTCCTATTTTTCTTTAGAAATACATCTTTACATTTGAAGTACAAACAGATTAATCAGTAACATTTAGATATATATATGATATATATGGAAATACTGTAGTATTATTGATATTATATACAGAATTTAAAGATTTATATAGCAACACAAATATTCTTTCTGTGTTTGCGCATGTATCAGTAACTTCATTTTATAGTATACCAGGTATTTAGAATTCTTACACAGGCAATCATGCTTAAGGTAATGCACTTTGCATTTTATTGCTGCTAAGTACCTGCAAATAGTTATTTATAATGACCATTAATACTCATCAGAAGAAGATTTGAAAAAAATATGTCAATTCCTTGCTCCATGTGTGAATGGAACTCTAAATTTAATCTGAGTTTTATGGTCCTTCCCAGGGATTTACCTCTTCTTGGCCTGACTGTAAGTTCTGAGTTCTCATTTAATAAATTTGGCGTACTAGAAAGCACATAAAGCATATTCAGTGAAGAAGAAATGTTCTGAGATTTTAGTAGTAAGCCTCTCTCTACAGAGTGATAATATACCACCAGGGACACTTTATTGCTTATTCCCTGGGAAAATCTGATTTGTTTACTCAGGGACAGCAAAAGCCAGGTACCTAACCTCATAACATCCTATTATGTTTTAAAACCTCAGTTTCTCCTTGGCAGTAGAACTAGGAATCAATTTGATCATTGTGCCACTACTTGTGCTCAAACAATGTCAAAGCCCAAAATAGTTTTAGTAGATACTGATACCAGTTTTGGATACCTGACATGACTGTAGACATATTTTTTTCTATTTAAAAATATGTAAATAAAAATCAGTGGCTACAAGCTCACTTGATTACTGGTTGACATGCAAGGTAATTAGTAATTTCTTTTAAATATTAGTGACCTACGGAACACTTCTAGTCGACCTTCTTTGATCAGACTTTTTTAAACTTCAGCACAACATAATTTATTAATTTGTATTTTCTTACTACTAAGCCAAATGTCTTATTGTGGCGTAGGTTCCCATCTGAGATCTCTTCATTTACTCTTCTACCTTCTCTACTAAATATGTGGAACCTTCTCTCTTTCTCTTCCCGAATGTGCTCAGGGGCTTGCATGGAACATTGCATTTCCCCTATTCCTCCAGGTTACACCAAAATGCAGTATAAGACAGTCAAGAGAACATAAATACTCAGCCTTCCTTCCAAGTACCATGTAATATGTTTAAAAGAACTTAATAGATAAAGCAGAGGTTGTCCATAGTACTTCGTGTCCAAAACATTAAAAAAATTAAAAACTTAAAGTTAACTGTGCTGCCTTAGTTTGACATCGTTCAGTGACTTCTGTGTTTCAAGGTTTTGGGGTTTCTTTGGCAGATAACTTTTTTCCTCTATGTAGTGTAGCTCCATAGGAAAAGCCTTGAGGATTCAATATCGCCATATGGTCATCTGTATGAAAATATACTCTTTGAAGGGTTTTGACATCTATTTTGTGTCTCAAGGAAAGCCTGTTCAATTGGTCCAAATTAATTTGCTATGCATGACTTCAAAACGGAGGAGGAGGTTTGCAGACGTTTGCTGTTAGTTCAAACTCTAGCAGCAAAATTACAGATGTTGAGAGAGCTGAGGCAAGACATAACTGTATTAAAAGTGCATCTTGGTTTGTGAATTTGCAAGTTAAGCATTTATAGAAAAGTAGCATGTAGAAAATGGTATATAAAAATCATTAAACCTCTTTGACTGAAGAGCTAAGAAACACATGTTTTCTTTGTGCAGGTGACAGAAAAAAAGCAAGAGTTAGAGAAATGCTTGAAATTGTCCCGGAAGCTACGAAAAGAAATTAATGCTATGACAGAATGGCTTGCAGCGACGGATGCAGAATTGACAAAGAGATCAGCTGTGCAGGGGATACCTAGCAATTTGGATGCTGAAGTTGCCTGGGGCAAGGTAACAATGTAACACGCAGTGTACCTTTATATATCTCAGTTTATGCATATTACAGAAAGATGAACTTCTTTCTTGGTAAAGAAAGAGAATAAAAATTCTGGCATTTTAATTAGTGGAACTTTGTAACTGTTACGGCATTATTTCACTCTAACATTAATGCTCAGAAAAGTTTAAACTATCTTGTCTCTGCATATATCAATAGCCCAGTTCACCTTCATGTTGCAGTAATCTTCACTGAGATGAATTTAAAGTGGGAATTTCATTGTTCGGAGTACTATATATTATCCATCCAGTATCCATGTAAATAGAGATCTCTTTCTCTCTCATCCCATTCGACTCATGATTAGAAAAGTATTAAGCAATAAGACAGCTCCAGTGGATGAAAGACTAAGGATGTCAGAACACTATATATTCCACACATTCAGATAGCAGCCAGGGGGTGGGATCTTTGTTTTCTTACCCTTTTTGGTTTTTAGCTCATTCTTTTTCATTCTGGGGGCTTCTTACTTCCATGAGACTTCACCTTGAACTATTATTTTAGGTCAAAACTCCAAACCTGAAATGAAACTTTCCTTAAAATTACTACGTGTGCCACAGTTTAGATAAAAATCTTGCAGAATTACTGAGGAATGCAAGAGTTCTACATCAAGCTGTGTATCTCTGTGTGACATTAAGACTTAGCACAGTATCATTCAATACTAGCTAATCTAGTTTGTATTCTCTATATGTAATAAAAATCCAATCTAACTCAGAGCATTAAGCAAACCATGTTATCATTGTATAGACATATCAAAATCTGTAGTTTAGTGGAAACTATGCTCAACATTATCCATAGCTTCAAAACTTCAAATAATCATGTGCAGCCAGCAGCATTTTGGATGTGTTTCTATATAATTTCAAAACAAAACAACACAAAAATTCCTTAAACAGTATTAGAGTTTTGTGCAAAAATTTGCCACTTCTGTTTTGTTTAACAGGAAGAATCCTTTAAACATTTTACCAGTTTCACCATGCACTATAGAAATCATCATGAATAATACACAGACAACCTTACTGATTTTCTTTAAAGGCTGTGCAGGTTAAAGGCACTGGAGTAAAATTTGGTTTGTGGTTTGTTTTTTTGGTTTTGTTTGTTTTTTGTCTTTAACTACGCCTTTGAAGCTTCTGAGCTTGATAAAATGTCTTTAGCCTTGAAGGGCACTAATGATTTACAAACTAGTAACAATAAAAATAAAGTCTACAAGTCTTTTGTGAGGTTTGAAATTAGGCTTGTTTTGGTCATCAGTCTCTAAGAATTACAATATTTTAAAAGTAGTATCAAAAAATATATAAACATCAACTTTTGCTATTATTGTCTTACAGTTACTGCTTTGACTATTGCTGCTTTGACTTTCAAATCAAAACCTCAATCCCTAAAAAAAATT